AAGAAGAAGAAGAAGAAGAAGAAGAAGAAGAAGAAGAAGAAGAAGAAGAAGAAACAGACTACTGGTGAAGACGATGATGATGAGGATGAGGGGGAGCAGGACGACAATGATGATAATGAATAACATGCCGGAATGTAACCGTTCGTCTCAAAGTAAATATCGAACCCTAACCACAGAACATAGATCCGTGTGTTTGTTATTTCACCATCAAAGGGGATTTACTGGTGTACAATAGACCTTTTTAATCGGCGTCTGTGATGCAGCGTTTAGGCGCTTCGCGTCGAATGCAGAAAATCTAAGTCACCTCCTTTGTAAAGAGAATTTTTTATTGAGTTTCTCGCACCCCCGGAGCAGTGCCACTGACTGTAGTGTCTTAAGGCCATTCCCAAAGGGGGGGGGGACATTTCTCGTTCAAGCATAGTAGAATTGTAAATGGGCTGACTCATGTCACGCTCATAACTGTGCCTGATCTACTATTGCTGCTTTTTCTTTCCTGATCCTTACTATTGTCATTTTCCTCTACTTCTTTTGTATGTTTGTCACTCTTTTGTGACCTGCTATTTCCGGGGTGCCTTGATAGTCGAAGCAGACCTTGTGCTGCTGAAGCTAGAGAGGTGAGCAGTCTAAGTCAGATTCCCTGTAAAGACTTCTCTGTTGACACCCATCCCTTGGCACTCATATGACCTTATGCAGTTGTGAGCCCCGTAAAACCCTCTACATGTACTATAAAAAAAATATGAGTTTCTCGTTCTTTCTCCGGGAACATTGCATTCCTCTCAGCCAGCCCGCCTCCTAAATGTGAGGCAGCGTGGTGGAATCAGGCTCTCGTCAAAATAATCAAAGTGAAGAAACATTCTTTTTTCTGTTGGTTTGTGAATTTTATCAAATTTTTGTTATTTTTGTCAACACCTTTCATGCCTATTAAAGAAGTCATTTCTGTGTGGATTTTTCTGAAAAACGTTGATTAAAGGCACAAAAATGTAAATTTTCAGTTACCACGACTCTTAAGCTAAGGAAATAACTAATCTTTGGCGGCCATTTTCTCACTAATTTTACCCCTGAAAACAGGCGACCCCCACCTTCTTCATTCTCAAATATCTTGACTTTTATTCAAGATAAATGGATATTTTTTTCATCCAAATAAAGACAAGTGAACAAGCTTTACGATGATACCAATAACTCTACATGCCCAAAAATTGACGAGAGCCTGATTCCACCACACTGCCTCCTAAATTATCCAAGCTGAGTGGGTAGAGGTGTAAAAACACCGACATTGCCATCAAATGGATCTTTAAATAGTTTACACCCCACCCCCAGCAACCCCTCTCCCAATTCAGTTTTTAAGAAAACCGATTTGTATGCATCTTACCCTTTTTGTTGTTCCGTGTTTTAAATCTCACAGGTCTGAACAAAAGCAGTTTCTACCACAACAGTACCTTAAGCAGCAACAACAGACATACTGAGGTGAAGAACTGAAGATGGCTAACCGTAATAATATCGCCATTCGGGCCTTAAAAGCGTCGCACTTGCTCATATTCCTCGCAACACTCGGCCCATATTGTTTCCCTTCACAATCGACGGCTAATCTTCTCCAGTCCTCGTATTCAAAATCAAACAGATCGTGTGATTTCCCAGCACGTCTGGCTCACGCATGCGCAGTTTACGTACAAAACTTGCAGTCCAAGGTCGAGTGCGCACGGACATGCAGCGGCGCTGAACACATCTGTGTTGGTTTCACTGTGCACCCAGATTCTGATGGCTTGGCGTGTTATGTTCATCACCCGTGCAAGGTCGGCCATTTTGTTACGGATGTCTGCACCGGAAGCTCTGTCGGCTATGACAGCTACGACAGACACATCAGCCCGGAACAGGAAGTCGATTTGTGCAGAGGAGGAGTCTGGGATTATGACTCACAAACTTGCAGGTAAGGATTGATCAAATACACGAGTAAACGTAATACATTTGACAGTAGAAGCGATCACTGCTTCCCTTCCTAATTTTGAAACATTGTCGCTGTCAAATTCATCCATAAACGTAAACCTCTTAAATTAAATGTCGGGAGGACTTCCGTAACGAGCGACCACTATCAAATCTAGATTTTACTCAATGGCTTCAAAAATCTTGATGGGAGACTGAAAGCCACTGTCATACCATCTGTTCATGACAAAATTACGGTAGTTTGCGCATTTTTAGGCCCAGTTTAAAGTTTTGTAGGTCTGAGTCGGGGATTAGTAGACTTGAATCAAGGCGCAGCCATTGTTGATCACGCAGACTTTATCTACTTCCGTTGTTTAGGAGCGCAGAGTTGCCAGGTTTTCTTCGGTTTCTAACCAAATTCTCACCGCGATTAATTCTAGCAAAATACATTGTATTAGTATTATTATTAAGGAGGAGGAATTCCGCAACGAGCGACCAATATGAAAGGGATGAAAGAGAGTTGTTAGGGTTAGGCTTAGGCTTAGGGATAGGGGTAGAGGTGTGGGTAGGGTCTGGGGTAGGGGTTGGGGCAGGGGTATGGATAGGGGTTGGGCTAGAGGTATGGGTAGGGTTAGGGTCTGACCCGGGGTAGGCCTAGGGCTAGGGGGATAGGTCTTTCCTTGTGTTTGATGAAGGTTAGGGGTTGGGTTGGGATGGGGGTAGGGGGTACGTTAGGTCTTTTCTTTATTGTGTTTTTTTTTTGGGGGGGAGGGGGGTAGGGTTTGGTGTAGGGGTCGGGGTAGGTCTCCTCTTTATTGTGTTTGTTTAGGGCTAGGGGTAGGTCGTTGGAGCTAGTTGGGGTCGGGGTGGAGGTAGGGTTAGGGGGAGGGTTAGGAGTATAATAGGGGTAATAGGCTAGAAGATCTCTTTTTTGTTTTGTTTGTTGAGGATTAGAGGTGAGGGTGGGATGGAGTAGGCTTAGGGCAGGGTTAGGGTTAGGCCTCTTCTTTATTGAGGTTGTGAAGGGTAGGGTTTGGTGTAGGGATAGGGTTTTCGGTAGAGTTAGGGTTAGGATGGTAGGGGTGGGGTTAGGGTTAGGGTTTGGGGTAGGGGTAGGGGTGGGTCTCTCCTTTATTTTGTTTGTAGAGGATTATTAGGGTAAGGGGTAGGGTTGGGGGTAGGGTTAGGAGTAGGAACTAGGGTTTAGGGTTAGTGGTGGGGTAGCGGTGGGGGTAGGCTTGTATTTGTTGAGGGTTAGGGGTAGGGGTATGGGTAGGTCTCTTCTTTATTTTGTTTGTAGAGGATTATTAGGGTAAGGGGTAGGGTTGGGGTAGGGTTAGGGGTAGGAACTAGGGGTTGGGGTTTGTGTTGGGGTAGGGGTGAAGGTAGGCTTGTATTTGTTGAGGGTTAGGGGTAGGGGTATGGGTAGGTCTCTTCTTTATTTTGTTTGTAGAGGATTATTAGGGTAAGGGGTAGGGTTGGGGTAGGGTTAGGGGTAGGAACTAGGGGTTGGGGTTTGTGTTGGGGTAGGGGTGGAGGTAGCCTTGTATTTGTTGAGGGTTAGGGGTAGGGGTATAGGTAGGTCTCTTCTTTATTTTGTTTGTAGAGGATTATTAGGGTGAGGGGTAGGGTTGGGGTAGGGTTAGGGGTAGGAACTAGGGGTTGGGGTTTGTGTTGGGGTAGGGGTGGGGGTAGGCTTGTATTTGTTGAGGGTTAGGGGTAGGGGTATGGGTAGGTCTCTTCTGTTTTGTGTTTGTTGAGGGTAAGATTTTTAGGGTAAGGGTTGGGGTAAATGTGGGGGTAGGGGTAGGGTTATGGGTTGGGTCAGGGTATGGGTTAGGACTCTTCTCTATTGTGTTTATTGAGGTGGTCGCTCGTTGCAGAGGGTAGG